ATTTTGCGTGCTCGAAGCTCAGGGTGCAAGGTTTAGGATCCAGCCTAGTGAAGCAATGACAACGTTACTAGGTGAACCGTGACGGTAGCACAGGGCTGCTTGCACGAAATGCAAAAAAGGCAGAGTACAATATGAGGCACCTGCATCTACCCACAATGTGTCTCTTAAACTTCCCCATAGAGTCAATATTAGACTTATGTTATACTTCTACTACGCTATATACAGATACAGTGCATGACAACAAAGTGCATAGCGGAGAAGCCCTGCGACGTGAACTTCGGAAATGATGGGAAAAGATTTCTCTTATGCGACACTTAGATCCAAAGCTACAAACCCTGGAGAGTCCAAGCCACCCTAAACCTAATAAGCCTCCAAGCGTTCTCCCATCATCCTTCGAATCGACAAGCTCTCGCAGCCGTAAACTGAAACTCCTACACTCACCACGCCAAGAATCACCAAGTGAGAAAGGCTTGAAACTCGGAATCTTGCACACTATAAGCTCCAACCAAGGGATCGTGTCTCATGTCTGCAAGCATCGGAAAACCCAGAAAACCCCAGAAACCCGAACCCTAGATCTGAACCCTAGACAACGCCCTGAACCCTCATAGCAACCCTTTTGGGAAGCCTGGGAATCTGAGGACCAAGCCGTGAGCCCGACCATCTCGCCTCTTCTGCTGTCAAAGAGGGCCTGTCGGTTTAGGGTTTCGTTGAGGGCTACTAAAACGGCCACTGAGTCCAAGAGTGCCCGGGTTTAAGTTGTAAGGGTTTAAACCAGGTCAGGAGGGGATTAAGGGCTTGAGGTTTTGGGGTTTACGGCTTTACGGCTGGGATTTAGTGGGGATTTTGAAAGTCTGGTGAAGCTTAGCGCTACGGGACGGGTTCTTTTGAAGGCTCTTATATTGATACGATTATCGGTCTTACTAATCCGAGCATAAACCTTATCCTTGTCCATGCTTAGTACTACTGTTCATTTGTTGTTGCCCTCGGCTTCTGCCGTTTCAAACGATTTCGCCAGCAAGTCCTTCTACTTTCTCGTGTCCCTGGTCAACAATGACAGGTTGACAGTTCCGTATGTTCGGGTACAAGAATCCAAAAGAGCAGCGGAGACTCTGGATAACATGAAGAGGAATACTTCAGAAGTATTGTCAGGGTACACTCCGATGAGGGTGAAGAGTTCACGGTCACTAGGGTGGTTGATGCTCTTCATCAGGATGCTCTTCTATGACCATAATGGCGACGACGATTATGATAATGATTATGCTGATGATGCTGGTTATGATGATGACGATGATGATGACGATGATAATGGTGATGACGATGATGATGATGGTGATGGTGACGACGACGATGTTGACAATGAAGATGACGATGATGAGGAGGAGGAGGATGGTGATGATGATGATGATGTTGACGGTGATGGTGATGGTGATGCTGATGGTGATGGTCATGGTCATGGTCATGGTGTTGGTGCTGATGATGATGATGATGACGACGATGATGATGACGGTGATGAACATGCTGATGACAATGACGGAGATGATGAACATCATGGTGATACCAGTAGCAGTGGCAAGTGTGGAAACGTGGGCGGCGGTGGTGGTTCTGCCTGTGCTGCCGGCGCTGCTGGTGCTGCTGGTGCTGCTGGTGCTGCTGGTGCAGGGTGGTGGCGGTGGTGGCGGTGGTGGCGGTGGTGGCGGTGGTGGCGGTGGTGGTGCTGCTGCTGCTGCTGCTGCTGCTGGTGCGGGTGCGGGTGCGGGTGCGGGTGCGGGTGCGGGTGCGGGTGCGGGTGCGGTGGTGGCAATGGTGATCTTAGTGGCAGAGATACAATGGTGAGGATGGCAGGGACGGTGCTACAACTGATGTGATGCGACTGTTGCCTGAACTGTTGTTTCCCGATGCCTTGGCAGCTTTTTCCTGCTCGATTCTGTGGGTAAACGCGTGCGTGTCAGAGTAGTCAATGCGAACCTCAACGGCTTTGGGTATTGAACGGGCGCTGGGTTTGGAACATTGGGTCAGGAATGTCGCAATGGGACCAATGTCTCCAATTCAATCACACAAGCCGAATTGCAGCACATAGTCAATTCCTCCCAAGACCCCGGCCATGCGGAACAGAGTGCACAAGAAGCATCATCTACGAAACTACGGACACATCCCAGCACACGGCTCATGTGGTTTGGGTCTGGTTGCGTGAGGATGATGTAACGTGCTCATGCTACCAGAAAATACGTTATCTCTATTTCTACGTCCGAGGGTTTGAGTCCCTAAGCCCTAAACTCTACAGAGTAACACTGTCTGGATTGCTTACAGGCTCAGCGTCTTGAACCATCCGACATGGCACAAAAGTCTAGGCTGGTTCGAGCTCCAAGCTTGGGTACTGACCCCATACAGTAACAAGCTATGATAAGGTTAAAATTAGGGGCCGAATATTACTCAACTGTTACTGAGTGGGGGCAGTATCCAAAATAAGGTTAAAATTACGGGCCACGAATATTACTAAACTGTGACTGAGTGGGGGCAGTATCCAAAATACGGTTAAAATTAAGGGCCTTATATATCTACACTATAACTAGTCTTTAACTGTTACTGAGCATCCAACTCCAAGCATGTAGTGATTGCTTCTGTCTGTGGCCACCACTATCTAGGGACCTTGCGAAAACACAATACTCCAGTAGGTACCTTCGGAAAAACCCGAATGCAGAATAACCTCCAGCTCCCTGAAACCTTCAAAGGGAAAAGACAATTGCAAGGACTTTTCTCGATGGCCCTTCAAACATCTGACGTGCGAAGGCGCTCGTCTGATTCCACCACGTTCTTCAAAGGGTGTGCCCGCGATTGCTTCGGTTATTCGAGATTGCTGTTTGCTATAAGCTACGAGGACCATCCATACATAGCAAGGGTCGGGCACTTAAATCTGGTTGCTCAGCGCACAGCCGGGCAGACCAAGTCTCTCAATCGAGTACAGAAACCTTCAGTCGCACAGGAGAGGAAGAGTGACGCACTGAAGGCCCTTGCTCGATCCGGGCGGCAGGTCGCAGTTGAGGAACTGCTGTACTACAAAAACTTCCTGGCCGGCTCGCAACATGAGTTAATCTGCTGGACATCTGCCGCACAATGCCGAACAGGCGTACTAAGATATCCTACATAAGCGAATTAGTGCAAGCGTGTTTGTCAGCCATGTCCGGTGAGGAGAAAGCCCTGTTCAAACATAGAATCTAAAACCATCTATCTAACAGTCAAGGGAATGGCTGTCAAACCCTGTCGCAAGCTCTCAGCTTCTCAACAAGTTGACTGATGAAGACATCCGCAGCCAAAATGGGCTCATAGAAATGACAAGAAGCTGGAGATACTCAGGGAAACACGATTTTAAAAATAACGAAATCTAAACGGATGCCAGGCTTAGACTCATGTGTCTTTTGCACGAGTTCGGGTCAAAGCCATGCACCTCTCGGCTGCCACTGCCACCTTCCCGCAACTGGGACGGTTTAAGGGATCTCACTTAGAATATGCAGCCAACACCGACTGGTGCTCGAACCGCACATGTTTCCAATACGGACGAAGCTCTAACACAATTTGTGTGTCGGACTGGCATGATCGACTCCCTTACAGTGGTTGGAAACGTTCATGCATCGTTTTCGAACGGTGCTTTGCAGCTCGAGGTGCAGGAAACGTCTGCACAGCCTATCTGAAGTGGGATGCACGTTGCCGGTATCACCAGGAAGAGATCCGTACATCCGTACGAAGAAAACATAAGCCAACCCCGACCGACCATGCTTCACTGTGGTGGTTCTTTGAAAAACGAGCAGGCTGCTGGTCTGCATCGACACACCAGATTTCGGCAGCATGGCGGCTCTCAGACCCTATCCATCCACAAACCTACAAACCGTAAGCTCTTGACTCAATGATTGCTGAACCTAGGCACTGAACTTATATATATATATATGTAATTTCATATATATAAAAAAATATATCCACCCTCTAATTCGAGGTCACAGCGCGATTTTGAGCTGCGTCTAAAAACTAGTTGAGGTACATACCACCCATGACCGTAGCTTCTCACCATGTGACGAGAGGGCTTGTTCCTACTAGTGCAGCATATGTTGCTATCGCAGGTATTGTGACTCTGACTAGTCTGAGTCGTTGGAATCGTTGTCATCGGCGACGATCCTTCGTCGTCGTTATAGTCGTCGTCTTCAACCCTCGTCGATGTCGTTCCTCGTCGTCGTCGTTGTCTTCGTCTCGGTCGTTGCCGTCGCTCCGCCTCCTCCACTTGATCCAAGCGCTCGCCTCTGCTCCTCCTCCTACTCCTCCTACTCCTCCTCCATGTCATGGAGCAAAGTAGCAGTAGCTACTACTGCTGCTACTCTCGCTACCACTGTGCCACTGTACCGCTGCCAGCAAGAACACCACTAACACTACCACCACCACGACTACTGCTCTTACTCTTGCTCTTACTCTTACTCCTGCTCTTATGCTTACGCTTACCCTTACCCTTACCTTTACCGATACCCCCACCCTTAGACTTACTCTTACTCCTGCTCTTACACTTACTCGAACTCATACCCTTACTCTTATTCTTCCTATTACTCTTTCTTCTGCTGTGATTACTACTACTACTACTACTACTACTACTACTCCTGCTGCTACTACTGCTGCTGC